CACAATTTTCGATCATATATCATATAATATTGACATAGAAAGTGATCTGAATCATTGGTAGATTTGATTTTCTGAACATTAGTCTGGCAACACTGAACATACCATTCCTCTTCTTCATCTGCAGTGGATTGATTCGCAATATTCCGCAGTTCAATTGAAGTTTGGGTTCGTTGTGAAAGATTCGATCCCTGCTCGCGGAATTGTAACTAACACCGAGAAGAATATTGCTGACTTTGATCGTATTAATATTTCAATTATTGGTGCGCGTAATATCACAAATGTCAAATGTTGGGAAAATCTGTTTCATTGTCCCATATTCATTTTGTTGACTGTATGTTAGTTTTTAATCAAACTGTCAATCACATTTCATGTAATTGCGACGTAGTTTGATCACAAAATACCTCACACAAAAGCCACTCATCTAACGGTACTTTGATGTTGAGTGGTCAAGTTTCTGTGACCCATATTTTGTGTTCGCGGTGTTCAATGCCATTTTAGCGGCAAATTCAAATTATTTGAAACATCAGATATATAATTTGATTGAGTTGACGGATTATTACGATGTCAATTTTCACCATTCTAGCTCATTTTTACTATGTTCAAGTTCACTAACCATTCGACAGTAATCCCCCCGAGATTCTCAATGAGTTCATGGTTCCTGTTCCCTGCTGAGTGTCCCTTCTGTAAGGTATTTTGTGCTTTAATCATTCTCGAGCTTGCAAAATAACACCCTGTAACCAGTAACCTTTATCGCCTATATCATAATATTCCTTCGAAATGTTGTTGACCTACCTGCAAGCGTCGTGGAGGTCTTTGACCCCGTGACCCGATGATTACTGCACCGCCACAGTTACCCACAAACCCGGAGTCCAGAGTGTGCAGGAGCGCTACACCGGATTGCATGATGGCGTGTTCGCGTGTGCTGGCCCGGTTAAATACACCTCCTGTACAACGTCATTAACCCCAATCAAATCTTTTCGGGAGGGGGTGGGCAAGAGGGTTCGGTATACGCTTTATGCAACTGCCAGTAAACACATTTCTTTCACAGCCACGGAGGAGCGCTGAAAGTTACCAAAAAATTATCGGTTTCTCATAAAATGTTCATTTCATTCAATAGAAAAGCATTTGGAGAGATATATGTAGGGGATATGTAAAAAACCACACATTTCTTGTAAGAAATGGTTTTTGTTGAACTTTGTGGATTTTAATGTTCTTGGCTTTTTTCTTTGTTCTTTTTTTAATTTGAGTCACTTTTTTCAGAATACTCAAAAGTTGGCAAACATTCTGTTATTGTATGTATTTTCGTATCAGGAATCTTTTTATTGATTTTTTTTCGATTCTACACGAGACGTTGAAAAAGAAAGATGGACAAGTGAGAAATTGAAGAATGAAGAAGCTTACTATATCTACTTTCAGACGAATGAATATATTCTTTGAAAAAAATTATTTTCTGGAGGAATCATTGTTTCTGAATGTTTTTCTGGGGTTTAAAACTTCCTATATCTGAAAAATGAACGGAGCTAAATCAACAGAAAATCTGCAAAAGTGTAATATAGGGCGATCTGAGGTGTCAATATTTCTGTAGTTTTTTCATATATCTAACCTTCCCAAATTTTCCTTTCTCAGAACGATAAAGGGAAATAATCCCTCCCCATTCTCAAACCTCGGTATAAAACCGGCATGTTTCCTTTGACATATAGAGAGACTACATTAGGAGTTCCTAACCAGCGGCACGCGTACTATAGGTGGTACGCGGGAACGTTCCAGGTGGTACGCGGGAACGTTCCAGGTGGTACGCATCAATAAAAATATTCTCGGACAGTCAAGTAGCGTTGGAAGTTCTTGGCTCCCACCGAGCAACGTCTGAATTGCTAGCAAACTGTCAAAAAAGACTCTCCTCGATAGGAAGACTGAACATATTGTCTCTGGTCTGGATTCCTGGCCATACTGGCCTGGAAGGCAATGAAGCTGCTGACTCTGTTGCAAAGGAGGGTGCTGCAAGTGGCTTCATTGGACCAGAATCTGTCATTGGCATCGCTTTGGGCTTTGCCAAACAAACACTTACCACCTGGAACGCAAGAAGAGTTATGGGCTTCTGGCAGAATCTTCCAGTTTTGGCTCACTCCAAGGCATTTATTCACCCTTCGAAGCTTGATTCCAAACAGTTGTTGGAGTAAAGTGGGGATGAACTACGATGTCTAACAGGCCTTCTTACAGGTCACTGTAATCTGAATCATCACATGCAGAGACTTGGACTGTCGGAAGACAGTGTGTGTCGCCTCTCTCTGGAAAATGATAAAACTGCAGAGCATATACTTTGTGCCTGCCCCGCTGGGGACCGAATCAGGTTCTTTGAGTTCGGCAGATCCGTACTCCCGAAGCTGGGTTTATTTGGCCGAGTGTGAATAGGTGTGAGCCACAGTAAACCCTTATGAGTTGCGGTGGAGGGTCGAATAGATCCACTCACTTTAGACCTACCTACCTACTTAGTGTAATTAGAGTTTGAAGTTTTGAATATTTTGAATTTTGATCGAATTATTCATTTTATAGACATTAAGTTTGAACATGTGTGCAACAACTGATAAACCATATTATCACTACTTGAAAATTAGTACTGACTTCAAAAATGTATGTTTATTTCTGCACAAATAAGTCCCCTCAAAATAGCTCCTTTCATATAATCATTATGTTCGAATGTATCAGTGTTTTTTACATAATTTTAATAATTTTTTGATTTAACATTTTTGACCCTCGGGTCGAATGGTAATCTCGAAGACTTTATTGTTCATTTCCTGTTATTTTCAAATTGAAAACTTTCACGTTATTTGGTATTTATTTACGATGGGTATATCTGCAATTCAACCCTCAATGAAAGGGATATCTATACTTCTATTTTTAACTTTCTCAAGACCGTTTATTTCATTTCTTCATAGCTATATTAATTGGGTTCAAATACCGAGATTTCTAAAGATAGCGTGACATATTTCTGCTTCCCCAGCTTTTGAAATTATGGCAGCTATTATCTGCAATTTTTACTAATTTCTCTGTTTGCCGAATTTCGACCCTTTTCGGGAAATACGTGACTTGAGAATAATTCCAGCCTATCCTTATAAATTACCCTCTCTCAAAAGGAATATTTTGAGGGATAGGACCAAGTGAAAATTCAATTCAGTCTGCGTCCGAAAGTACTAGTAACAAGACATACCGTCTTACCGCGTATCACAAAATACAGTTCATCGTTTGCAAGTACCGTAGAAACATTTTGTTGCAAGACATATCATACCGTCTTACCAGATACCGTAAACAATACCAATCTCATCTAAGTTTCTCACCACACATTTCTTTGTTTTTATATATTAATGTTTATACTATAAACTCATAGTAAATAAAATATTGATTAGATATTAATTTATCTGGTGAAAAAATAATTGGTGAAATCTGATTACTTTTTTTATTGTTAAAATTTGGATTGAATCAATAATTAAAAAGCATGGTCCTTCGAGCCGGATACTTGTGCAGTCAGTGTTTATTACAAGTTCAAATCACAGTCTAGTTGGCAGTCCAGAGTACAGTCCAAGGTGCAGTTTCAATCGCAGTCCAGTTTGCAGTCCAAATCGCAGTCCTGTTTGCAGCAGTTCAAACCACAGTCCAGTTTGCAGTTCAAATCGCAGTCCAGTTCGCGCAGCCATGTTTGTATGTGTCGCAGTCCAGTTTGCAGTCCAGATCGCAGTCCACAAAGCAGTTCAAATCACAGTTCGAATTTCGAATCGCAGCTAGTACAAAGTAAGTTGGCCATTCATCAATCTGAAAGTTAGCCCAATCCCTTGTTTGTCCTTAATACCGTGTTAACTGTCCCACCATTACCCTATAGCGATGAATTTACCTTCGATTACGTTTGATGGAACTCCGGAAAAATGGAACGAGTTTTTCAGTCTATTCCAGGCCGTAATTGGGAACGAGCAGATACCTTGTGTGAGAAAAATTAACTATTTGAAATCATCATCATGCGGAAAGGCAGCAAGAGCCATTGAGTCATTAGAAATCATTGAAGGCAATTACGACGTCGCAATATCAATACTAAAGGAAAAATTTGAGAACAAACGTCGTAAGGCACGTCGTCACATGTCTATTTTGAGAGAGTTTCCGCGACTACAAAAGGATACACCGATTGCTATAAATGAACTCGTAGATATCTTTCACCAGCATACCAGAGCATTAGAGAATTTGAAGGCATCCGTGGAGTTTTGGAACATACCATTAGTTGACCTAATTCTATCAAAAGTAAGTCAAAATACCGCATGGCAGTGGGAATTAACACTACAGGATGATGAAATTCCGTCATTTAAATCATTGCTGAGTTTTTTGGGAAAGAGAGCCAATTGTGCAGAGCCTTCGCTTAATGGCTTCACGAACAATAAACCAATGAAAATAGAAGGTAGGAACGTGAGAACACAAGCATTATTTACCCAAGGTCAAGCGGGACACCAGGATAGAGCTAATAGTTGTCCAGCTTGCAATATGCCTCATCTATTATATAATTGTAACAAATTCCGTTAATTGTCACCGGATAATCGTCATAAGATTGTATCCGAAGCACGCTTATGTTTCAATTGTTTTGGTAAAAATCACGGAGTTATAGGACATGTAAGTTACAAACATCATGTAAAAAATGTAATAAACGCCACCACACTTCATTACATGTACACACAGAATAGGACCCCGGCCAACATCAATCTTAAGAAATTACCTTTGAGCAGAGGAATCGGACCCAACCAAATTTATCGACGGAGCAAAGACAAGTAGCTCTCGTAGTTAATGCTATGTCTAATGACATAATGGTTACCGCAGTACTCGACATTTTGGACAAAGATGAGAGACCTATACAATGCAGAGGGTTGCTCGATACATGCTCTACTACGAATTTTATTACTCATCGTCTCGCTGACATTTTGAGATTGAAAAAGACAAAATGTCATATACCTGTGAGTAAATTAAACTCCATGACAACCTACTGTACCGAATTGACTACGACTACCATTAAATCACGCATCAATGCCTATAAGAAGACTTCAACGTTTTTGATTGTACAAGCCATTTCACATATCATACCAGATCAACCGATCCAACGTGAACTCATCAAGCTACCTGCTAACGTCAAACTAGTAGATCCAGATTTCCATCGACCCGCACCGGTGGATATATTATTAGGAGCGGGCACGACACTTTCTCTAATATCCGTAGGACAAATTAAATTAACAACCTCTGGTCAACAGGAGCTACATTTACAAAAGACAACACTCGGGTGGATAATAGGAGAAGCTGCTCCGTCCAGTATACCTGCCACCGCAAAATGCCATATTACGACTACAGTCGCACAATTTGAACTTAAAAAATTCTGCGAAATAGAAGAATGCCCGCAAAAGAAAAGATTCACTCAAGAAAAAGAAAGATGCGAACAGTATTTTCGTAACCACATAAGTCGAGACGTAAATGGACGTTATGTTGTTGCTTTACTTTCCAATCCGCATACACCCAAGTTGGGAAGATCTTACCATACGACTCTCAAGAGATTTGAAAGTACGGAACGTAAGTTGAGACAAAACCTAGAATTCAAAAAATCGTATGATGGAGTACTAGAAGATTATATGAAACAGGAATACATGTCTTTAGTGACAAAACGTCAACACCTGTCGAAGGCTTATTATTTGCCTCACCACGCAGTTGTAAAAGAAATGCAATTACATAGATTTGCCGATGTAATTAAGAAGGCTTATGGAGCCTGTAGTTATCTTAGTACCGTTGACGAATAGCATAATGTCAGAGCACAATTATTATGTACCAAATCCCATGTCGCGCCTATCAAAGCCGTAACAATAACGAGATTAGAACTTTGTGGAACTCAGCTATTGACTACCTTAATGAAGACCGTGAAGAATGCTCTCTAGGAAGAGGTGAAAACTTCCCTTTGGACCGACTCTATCATTGTACTACATTGGATACAAACTTGCCCGCAATAGTTGAAAACCTTCGTCGCCCACAGAGTAGCCGAAATACAAACCAACTTTCCGATAAATTATTGGCGGCGTGTATCGACACATGACAATTCCGCGGCTCTTGTATCGAGAGGAGTATCACCTATAGTCTTCCCAACCACAACATTATGGGTAAATGGACCTGTTTGGTTGTCTGAACCCATAGCCATGTAGCCAAGTCATTTACCTGAGGAAAGGGAATCTTTTGAATTACCTGATCGACGAAAACCGTTATGTTTAGCTATGACTGTTGGAACACCATTCACTACATCGTTAAGATTTTCTACCTTTGAAAGAATGATATGTGCATTAGCATATTGTTTTCATTTCACAAGGCGAACATTTCTACCCAAGTAGATGTAACCAATCTATTCATTATATATTTTCATAAGAAACACTTGCATTCTGGCGTTCAACAAACTCTGTATACTATACGTCGTAAATATTGGATCATTGACGGGCGTAGCCAAGTATACAAAATCATAAGGCAATGTTTTAAGTGTTTCCAAGCCAATCTTCCAGCTACTAATTATATCATGGGTANGACAATAATTCCAGCCTATCCTTATAAATTACCCTCTCTCAAAAGGAATATTTTGGGGGTAGGACCAAGTGAAAAATCAACTCAGTCTGCGTCCGTAACAGTACTAGTACTAGTAACAGTACTAGTAACAAGACATACCGTCTTACCGCGTATCACAAAATACCGTTCATCGTTTGCAAGTACCGTAGAAACATTTTGTTGCAAGACATACCATACCATACCATTCCGTAAACAATACCAATCTCATCTAAGTTTCTCACCACACATTTCTTTGTTTTTATACATTAATGTTTATACTATAAACTCATAGTAAATAAAATATTGATTAGATATTAATTTATCTGGTCAAAAATTATTGGTGAAATCTGATTACTTTTTTTATTGTAAAAATTTGGATTGAATCAATAATTGAAAAACACATTAAATTCCACGAAAAGAAATTACTTTGGAAACAAAAATATTTATTTGAACATTGAAATATACAAAAAAAAATTATTGAGTTTGTATTCCAAACATTCAATATGGAATTGAATCAGATATCATTCACAGAATTCCTATACAATATAGTGAATATGAAAGGTAAAATTCGACTCACATGGAACACTGTCTTTACTGCTAGACATCCGATGTCTCGCCATGACACGTGCCGTATCATCTCTTAAGGACCAAATCTAAAAAATATTGTGAGAAACACCACTCAATTTATTCATAAAAATGTACGCATTTCATTTCAAATAAAACAGAAATTTAAATAATTGGTATATTACGATCTACACGTTGAAATTGTCTATAATAGAGAAGCTCTTATTGACTTTTTCGATTTTTTTTCAATTGTTCCTACAACATTGTGGAGAAATATTTCAGAAGTATTTTCAACATTCATGTCACTCGTAATTTTGAAGAATCCAGCTGATATTTGGATATGAAGATAAATCAATTGAAAGATGAGGAAGAAAATATAGGTTATGAAAATGAAATTTGAAAAAGGAAACAATGAACATGAGAAAATGTCCTGAAAATTTGTATTTTCGAAGGCATTCCCACACATAAAATATAATGGGATGAGACAAAAATTTTCCCTTGCTTTTCTGCAACATTTTCTAAATAAACTCTTATTGGAATTGGAATAACTATGTAACAATATTTTAAAGGTTCTCAGAAGTTCGTTCAAAATGTTTAGCTTCCATTTCCAAACTATCATTATCTTTGAGCGAAATGATGAAACATGAATATAAATTTGTTTGCATGAATTTTAATTCATTTACAACGAATGTTTTGCAACTCGATGATTGACGATTGAACCAGCAAACAGGGAAATAGCCATATGGAAAATTAAAAATAAATTCCACTCAGATATGTCGAAATTATGAGTTTACTTTGCTGAGAGCCATTAGAAATATTCAAAAATAAACCGAATGAATGTTTGTAATTCAGTTTCCTGTTTTACCAGTCGTATATAGTTTAGCTTTCAATTGGTTATACACATATTTATGAGGAACCAAGTTTCGTCGAGAATTTTTCCTTGGATTACTATAAACGGACGTAATCCTCTGTCGATGCTCTACATAGGGCATCAATATGAAAAAGTACCTACAGAAAATATGAGAATATGCGTAAATATGTCGAACTCATTTCTTATGGGGACATTTTGTGAAATATATTTCAATTGAATGTGTTTCATTTATTTTCTAAACAGTGTGCTCCCAAAGTCCTTCCGAATACTTCTGTCTGAAGTTCTCTACACGCAGCTGTTATTCTTCTCTTCAAATTCTTCTCTGCTTCTGCTTTAATTTTTCATGAGCAGTAAATCACACAGCCCAAAGTTCACTTTCTTTGGATACTATGAATAACTTTTCCTAAAATGTCGAGGACTTTTATTATTACAGTGGTGACAAATTGATTATTTCGTTAATATGACCCTCAATATCGATTGATCCCTATTTTTTTTCTAAAATGTTGACGTCGTTTCTGATAACGACTCTTTCATTTTCATTTGGTCACCCTGTATGAAACAAATGAAATTAGCATAATTTATTCCATATCGAAGAAGGATGAACTAGTGTTTCCTAAGTAAATATTTCAACACTCATTGAAGGGATACACTGAAAGTGTGATTATTATTTGAGAAAATTAAAATTTTAGTAACACTACTGATGAACTTCATTCAGGCACCTAAAATTGCGGCAGTTTCTGCTCTATTTACTTTGCTTGATTTGCAATTCATGAAGACACTAATTTCCGTCGTGCGTTCATCTTCTGGTTTGTTGAAGTGTTCTTTTTCTTTTGATGAACTGAACCTTCTGTAGCAAGTAAAGCAAATGAACTATGCAGAAGCGGAAATTGATTTATCCAATCCTATCCTATTTGAAATGGAGTGTATCAAACGAGATCAAAAATCAGTTTGTACAGCAACTTCCTGACAAAAATCTTCCCATTCGCAAAAGCTGATTGTGAACGAATGTGACAGAGATGCGTATTTGAATTTTTTACTTATGTTAATGATCCATGATAATAAAATGAAATTTTATCCTTGGATTTTCATCAAGTAACGGATCAGAGTATTCATAATTTCATGTCAATGAATTTTCAACCATGTGAGACATTTTCAACCAGAGGTTGTTCAATACTATATGTCATATATGATGGAATTGTCCGATATTTGATAAAAATTCATAACGTATTCAAGAAATATCTTATTGTGTGTGTTTAACAGAAACGCAACACGTGTTTCGTTATAGAATAGTTTCTTCAGACGTGTCCATACTATAGACACGTGTCTATATAGCGAAACATGCGTTGCGTTTTTGTAAAACTGTTCAATGAAAATCTCACAAAAATGTGTTTCTTGAATAGTTCACTTTATTATTATGTTATTATTCCAAGAATAATGTCAACTGGTTTTCATATATCAAATTACTGTTGAAGCTATAGAGATTCATGTTAATTGATTAATTACCTGAAATATAATATTATCTTTATGCTACGATATTAACGAGTCGAAGCAGAAGATCACTTTCCTGTAATTCATCACTTAACGTTAACCTAATTAATCTTTCAGGATCAAAACCACCCTAACTGGATGGAAATGATTGATGTGCAATCAGGATTCTATATCCAGAAATGTGAGGTGACAAATGGAAATTTGAAAACTATGAATGAACATTTGATACATTTTTCAAAATAACTTTTCTGAAAATCGTGAATCCAATCAGTCTCAAAAACATTCATACTGATGACCATGTAATCAAATTCTCCTTTTATATTTTCACTGCTGTTGTTCGATATAATTTTTGCTTAATTCGACTTTTGTGTCTTATCACATCTTCTGTTCAATGTTCCATGAAGAACACTTATATGCCATCTTCAACCAAAAGAACACAGTCAGCGTTATCAATCACGTGATCAGAATGATAAGGACCTATGTTCAAGTTCAATCATTGATGTCACACCAATACGAATATTTCCATATATCAAAAAACATATGAAGAAAACCTACAGATTTTTTCGAAAGATGTGATGAAAAATATACAGAAATCACTTGTTCATTCCCAATGTATACAGAAAAACATTCATGGTGTTAATCGATAGAAGATGTTATTTGTAGAATGTTGTATCCATGGTTTTCCAAAATCGAATGTACACGGCTCTCAATTATTTTCCTAATAACCTAATAGGTTATTAACAGGACCTTCCGAATGATGTTTCAGCTGTTTAGTATATTATTTTCATCATTATTGTCGTTCATTTTTCAATAAAATTTTGTTTTATTCATTTTATCTTCTAGTACATAACACAAGCACTACAGGAAAGTCTTTAGGGCGCTCTCAGTGCTGTGTCTGTGCGATTCACGTTGGATTTGAATTGCTATGATGTTGCAGAAACCTATATCGAAGTTCTAATGTGTTTGTGATGAAACTGTTTAAATATTATTCAAAATGGTGGACATCGATGTTTCAGAATGATACACTTGTCTCATTGCCTCGTTAGTATGAAACTGGATAATATTACGAAATGAAGCACTCAATTCATTCATATCCTTAAGACTTCACCAAAACTTATCTCTCTTATACATATACGACTTTTAACATAAATGAATATATTTTTAAAAAACTAAAAAACACGCTTTTGAAGAACACGAACTGAAAAGTTTTAAATTTTTTTTTTTTTAAATAAGATACCAAGCCCAAGGAAGGCAGCAGGCGCGCAAAGAAGGGTTACCAATAAGGCAACAGGT